TATCAATTATATTTAATAAAACTGAAAAAATATTTAAGATGTAGTAAATAACTTTATTTTCAAAATGATGAGGAGAAAGAATAATTGTTTGCTGGTTAAGAACTCTTAGAACTTTGAAAAGCAAATTAATTTCTCCAAGCCCAAATTTCCTGTTTGGAAAATGGAGATTGTAAAAACTACCTCACAGTGTTAATGAAAGGATTTAACGGTATATGCACTGGTAGATGCCTAACACAGTGACTGGTACACAGTAAGCTTTAGTTATCTATTGCTGTGTAAAAAATCGCCCCCAAATTTCTCCATTTAAAATGACAAACATTTCGTATTTCACAAGTCCCATGCTTCAGGAATCTGGGCACAGCTTGGCCACGTGCATCTGGCTCAAGGTCTCTCACAAGGTCATGGTCAAGCAGTTGGCCAGCGCTGATGTTTTAAAAACAAACCATAGCTACTTGAATAATAGAGCAAAAATACTCATTTTTCTGGATAATACTTTCCAAATCTTTTTCAAACTCTTCTTCCCCAAACACACCAAATGTATACAACATCCTATCATTAGTAACTGAAATCAGGATCGTGGGGGCAATGTAATCCAACAATTAAAATGAAAAGAAATAAATCTATAATAATCAGAAAGTTCAGTCCTTCAGTGTCTGTGTGATTTTAAGCTAGAAGACATGGTACAGTGGCCAGGACTACACTGAGCTGGGGCAGACTGCCCACTATTTAAATTAATCATGCTCCTATTAATGCCACTCAATCATAGTAATGCTAATAATAAAATTATTGCTGATAGAGCATCTCTATGGGTTGGACAAAATGTACGAAGTAATAGTTTTCATGCAGTGGGCATTAGGCAATGCAGGACAATGATCTCTGAGAGACAATAAACAGAAGAGATGAGGCATACTATTGTCCCTGTTACCAACTTGAGGGAGTTTCCAGACCACAGCATCTCCCAAACCCAGGGGGGCCAACATGGCTGGAGTGCATGGAACAGAGAACTAGGGGGACAAGATGCACAGATCAAGAACTCCCAAGATGTGCAGAAGGTCCTCGTTGAGTAGTCCCTGCCGATCGGTCAGCATGCATGTGTGAGAGAAATACCAGACACCATGGAGAGAAGCACTCAAAAGGATTTGAACTATTGCTGGGCACTCACCACAGAGCTTAAAAGAGTAGTACCTATTCCCACCAGGTACTGCATAGAGAACACAGAAGTTTCTTGCCTCAGGATTGGGCAAAAATTAACACTAGACTATTCTTGTTTTTCCTGACAAATCTTAAAAATAAAATCCAAAAGAATTTCCTAATAACTTTAAAAAGAGCCAATTCCAGCTCTAAGCCTTCATTCTTCGAGCTGAAATTCCAAACTTTAGTCTTTTAAGACTAAAGTATTTGGAAAATTTATTACTTAGCTATAGTTAAGTTCATAGATCTCTAAATTAACAAAGACAGTATCTAAGGAACTTCCCCTAGACATGACTGTAGATCACAAGATACTGAACTGATAATTGAATGAAATTTCATAATTGAATAAAAGTTTTGGTAATCTTACAAGTGGTAGTTTTTAAATATGGAAGGGGCATGAATCATAGGGATCAGAGAATGAACTATAATGATTTTTGTAGTAATGATTTCCATGCCAAGGAAGCAAACCTTATGGCAACCAAACCCTCCTATGCTGACTTGGCTTGGCTATGTAACTTGCTTGGGCCAAGGTGGTGATAGAAAATGTGATGCAAGCAAAGATTTGAAACACACAAAAGCACATTAATGTTTACCAACTCTCTTGATGCTAGGAACACTGAGAATTCCATGTAAAAAGCATGGTCTAACCACCTGGTGGATGAAAAGAACATCTGCAGAAAGTGGCCCAGCAATCCCAACCGCTCCAGCCATCCCATCCGAGGCCCTGGACATGTGAGTGAAGCCATACTAGGTAACTCAGCCCTAGCTGAGCCAGCCCAGGCCAAAAGAAATACAGCAAACCCAGAGTTGTGAGAAATAATAAATCATTGTTTAAAGCCATTCAGTTTTGTGAATGGTTTGTTATGAAACAAATGCCAATAAATATGGTCTCTGAAGAGACCCCAAACTACATAAAACCCAGATACATTCTCATTTTTAACAGCTCCAAGAATGCATCAAATCCTTCGTTACACATAAATGTAGATTCCTGCCTCTCTATTCTCAGCTTCCCATGGCTTTCCTATAAAAACAGCTCACATATTTGATATGCTTCTTTAGGGAACTCATTTACTTTTCTGGCTTAACTGTTCCCTCTACAATCCACATTTGTCATCTACCCTTACCAGCTTCACAACAGCAATCATTCCCTCCAACTCTGTTGTTTTCAAGTAAGTGAGATGAGGAAACCCCGTTATGACAATTTGCCTCACATGTCTCTCAAATCCATTTTCTTCCCTTCATTCTGATCACCTTTGACGCATTTCTGTACATGTTTGTTTCTTGCCTATGTGACTACATGTCATGAATTCTCCCAGGCTTCCAGTCGCTCCCCTACAAATACACCCTCCATATTGTCATCAGAATAATCTTCTAAAATTAGAAACGCTCCATAGGTTCTCATTCAGGTTGGCTAATGACATTAAAAATAGACGTAGGGCTCACTAAATGCTTGCTGGACACTCTGGTAGCTGCTGTGCACATAGAGCTGAATAAGCCAACACCTGCTTTCAAGGAGCTTCCACTCTATTAAAGTGAGACTGACAGGTAAAGAGATATTTTTTAGGTAACGTGAAAAATGCTTTATGAAGTGAAACAGAAAGAATTGGTCAGAAAGCCTTTCTAGAGGTGACAATACTTAACAAGTCTGAAAGGCTGACTGAAATTAGCCAGGACTGGAATCAGCAGGCTCGGTGTAGGAAACTAACTGCCAACAATTCTGCATCATTCCAGGTTCAATTTTGAAAGTGGTATATGGAAGCTGAGTCTTAAAAAGGGAGAAAATATCTGAGATAGGTAGCATGACATCACCCAAAGTTGTCTACACTTTAACTTCTAAGACCTGTGAATGTTATGTTTCATAGCAATGGGGAATTAAGATTCCTTATGGAATTAAGGTTGCTCATCAACTGGCCTTAAAATAAAGAAATTATCCTGGGTCATCTAGATAGGCCCAGTATAATCAAAATATTTTTAGTTATGGAAAAGGGAAGCAGGGGTCAGAGTCAGAGAGAGAACTGATGATGTTACACACTGAATTTGAAGAGGGAGAAAAGGGAAGCTTCTAGAAGCCAGAAAGAACAGGAGATAGATGGTATCCTACAGACTCCAGAGAAACTCAGCCTTGCCAACACCTTCATCTCAGCACAGTGAGATTCATTTCAGACTGGTGACCTCACTTACTATAAGATGGCACCTGTGTGTTATTTTAAGCCACTAAGATTGTGGTAATTTATTACAGCAGCAATTAGAAACTAATACAGGGACCAAGTCACAGAGGCTGTTATATTCAGTGTGTTGTCTTCCTGGGAGAAATTAAGAGTTTAATGCAGGGTCGAGAAAAGACATCAAAGATCAATTTGACAAAAGACTGACTGTTGAGAATAAATGGTGGTAGGTAGGAAGATGTTTGTTATAAGGCTGTGGCAATCACACAGAGCAAAACAAAACAAAACAAAAAAACAAGAAGAGTGGTTTAACTGTGGGAGGACCATAGAGATAGAGAAGAAAGGACCAGTTAATTTCAGTGATAAAATCAGTAGGACTACGAGATCAAATAAATGTGGGGAAGAGGGGGAAAGGAAAGTATCCAGGAGCATTTCTCAGTGTCTGACTTGGGTAGATATGGGAAATGCAGGGAGAACAGGGTCTTTGCTCTGTCCTGCTGTGGTGGAGAGTGTGGGTTGAATTTGGGTGCACTGAATTTCGAATGACTGTGACACACCCACATGGAGAGCCGACTGGGGACTACATCCTTCGGTAAGATTTCAAACTTAGGAGTCCCAAGCATATGAGTAGCTCAAAACAAACAGAGCAGATGTATTGATTAAGAAACTGTCTCTGGGGACACTAATAGTGATTATAATTCTTCTTTAATCTTTGAATAAAAAAGGGTAATTATTCACAAGGCTGTGATCAAGATTAAGTGTGGTATTTAGCACAGTGTCTGGAGTTAATAAATTCTCAATACATGGTAGATATTATTACTACATGGCCCAGGAATAACAGAGAATGAGGAATCTAAGAGGCTACGTCCAAATTCCTGAAATCAAGGACAGCCACTGCCCTCAATGTCCTCAGTCTAATCAGCTCCTTCAAGAAAAGGGTGCTGTTTTACTCACCACTGAATTTCCAGTGCCCAGTTCAATGGCTGGACAAACGAGTCCGGCACGTGATATATTTTGGGCAGAGGGCTGACAGGAGAGAGCTACAGGAGAAAGCAAAGGAGGCAGAGAGGAGGGAGTGGAAGGGAGAGAGGAGAGCTGGAAAGAAGAGGGAGACTATAGGGAGGAGGATAAGAGGAAGGCAACATGCCATATACAAGCCTGGACCTTATGTAAGATCTGCAGTGGGAAGAGCTTGTGGGAGCCTGGGATAGGGTGTGGTCATGGTGCACATGCGGGGACAGGTGGAAAGCCAGGCCTCTGGCCCCAGTACGAGCGGCACAATCACTCCTGGATTTTTCCTTTTTCTGGAACCATAGCTCCTTGGACGCCAGAAGAAACGACCAGCTATGAGCCAGCAAAGCTTTAAATGTGGTGGGTTTTGTGTGATTTGACTGTTGGTTCAGTGTCAGTTTGAGGGAGAGATGATATTTCGATTGTGGGCCTCTTAGACCAGGCCCCAAGACTGATCTCCCCAACTCTGGATGCTCAAACCTCAAGCCAGAGGGAAGGCCCTCTGAGGGCTCCGCCCTTTGTGAGCCCCACATTCGGACCTGGAATGCTGAGAGGGTGGGGCCTCAGGACAGGGTACTGGCCATTCCAGGTCCCTTAGGACAAGGGACGTGGAGGGAGGATCCAGGGCCTACGATGGAGCTCTACCTCAGCTCCTGCTCCAAGCCTGCTGGCGTTGCCGCCACCAAGACAGCCACCAGCAGCGTGGTTGAAGACATGAAGCAGTGTGGAGAAGTGAGTGAGGAGGCCTAGGTCCTTGTCCCCGGGTGGGCGGGGCAGCGAGAGCCACGGGCGGCCCGGTTCCTACCCATCTTGCTTCGGGCGCCCTCGTGCGGTGCAGTGTGTAGCGGGGTCCGCAACTGGCTGGTGACCTAAAGGTCTTCAGGGCTGTGTGGCAGGGTGGCTCCCTTCAACCCTGACTGTATGATCTTTGCTTCCTTTGGTTAAAGTAGGAGTAGATTGGCCTAAACTAAGCAAATAAAGTCTAAAAGGAAAGACAAAAGTCTCCCATTTTACCTGACAGGTCGTGCACAAAACCCACATTCCAGGCCTAGGAGCAGCTGAACTCCTGGATCTGCCTCTTGGGGTCAAGCTGCCTGTGATCCCAGGGAGCAATACCGTATACTACACCACGAAGTTAAGTGAGAAGGTAATTTCTGTCTTGACATCGGTTGTCTTTGCCCATTTCTTCTTGCTGTTCAAGTCAGACACTACATTATACAAACTCCATTAAGGGAATTCATATTAACATTCACAGCAAACAAATCAAACCCCACATCTAAACCAAGGTATTGTTTAGGACTCATGCCAAGCAACTTCATCTCGTAAGGCTTGCACAGAAACAGGCTAGAAAGTTTCAATTTTTAGTTCTCTCAATTTGTGGAAGCATACTAACTTTTCTTTATAATAACACTTAAGACATATCTAGTGAGATTTTATTTACCTATAAATAAGTGTGTTTGGTTAAACGATGGAAAATTATTGGTGCTGGCTGGCATTTAATGATGTTATGATTTTAACCAATAAAACTTGGACAAAGCTCTCATTACAGAAACTTCTTTATGATTTTGTTTTGAGAGAAATTCGATTTCATACACAAAAGTGAGGGGAAAATGGAATTGAAATGAGTTAACATGTTTAGGTGCTTTAGCCTCACATTAATGGAAGAAGGCTCTGACTCTCTTAGAGATTCCATGATATCCTCCAACCTTCCTATCCACTCTTTACTCCAACCCAGAACCTCAGTTTCCTCCAGCCGGGGTCTAATACACACACGTGACCACAGATACCACATTAATGCTTCTGTGCTTTCATTCACCTTGCTCCCAAACCTGGCATCCCCTCCTCTTCTCCTCAATCTGAATCTCAGCCATCTTTCAAGATTTCATTCTGAACTATCAGAGCCCCCAACGAGCTTATATTTTCTTAGAATTTGCATTGCCCTTGGCTTGTATACTTTTCCTCAACACTATAATTTTATAGTTATAATTTTATAACTTAAATCATACTGGGTTATAGTGTGTACTTCCCTCAAACCCTTTCTAGTTTTCAGTCCTCAATGCTACTCCCACCCTTGAACCTCTGCAGGCCTTGACTCAGGAACTAACACTGAAGGAGGTTCAGTACAATCCTTTTTTTTTTTTTTTTTTGCTTAATTATCACCTGAGATATTTTTCCATTTACATTTAGATGGAGTAGAAAGAAGGTAGGGAAGGAGAGAGAGAGACACACATTGATTGGTTGCCTGGAGCAGGACCCCAACTGGGGCCAGGATCAAACCTGCAACCCAAGTACCCTTAACTGGGAATCGAACCCAATACCCCTTGGTCTGAGGGCCGACGCTCTAACCATGGAGCCAAACCAGCCACGACATAGTATATTCTTTTTTAATAGTTTTAGTGATTAATATCATAAAAAATTCTACAAGGAAGAATTCTAAGTGACCCTCTTACCCTTCTACTCTCTATGACATCAGAAATGAGTAGGCCCCTTGGCATCTGATACTTGCTTAATAGACATGATTTTTTTTAAATGCTCACCTGAGGATATTTTTCCATTTATTTTCAGACAGAATGGGAGGGGGGGAGAGAGAGAGGGAAAGAGAAACATTGACGTGCAAGGGACACATTGACTGGTTGCCTCCTGCATGCCCCCAACCAGGGCTGGTGTCCGAACCACAACCAAGGTACGTGCCCTTGACCGGAGTCAAACCTATGACTCTTTGGTCTATGGGCCGATGCTCTAATCGCTGAGCCAAACCAGCCAGGGCTAAACATGATTTCTTTAAGCAAGTTTTGCTTCTGGAAAACATTTGTTTTTAAAAATAAATATTTTCTACTACAATAGAGCAAGCTAACTAAAAACATGCCTACGTCAAACAATTTAGCTGAGTCACATGCACACAAACTAGCTGTCCTAAAGTATGCTTAAAATCTATGTCACTCTTTTGTGTCTAAACTTAGCCCTGTCTTTCTTTTGTCTGCTTCTTCAGATATATTGTTTGGTGCATTACCATTTTCTATCAAATATTATTTTACATGTCAACTACTTTCTAAAAAGATGTCCTCTGGCCCTGGCTGGTTTGGCTCAGCGGTTAGGGCATCAGCCCGCAGAATAAAGATTCGTGGATTTGATTCCAGTGCAGGACACATACCTGAGTTGTGGTTGTGTGGGAGGCAACCAATCAATGTATCTCTCTCACATCAATGTTTCTCTCTCTCCCCTTCCCACTCTATCTGAAGATAAATGGAAAAATGTCTTCGGGTGAGGATTTAAAATAAATGAATAAATAAAAAGGTAGATTTTTCTCTCTATTCTTTGTTACATTTATTCCCCCAAAACTGTCTTCATTTAATTATAACGAGGAACCAAACTATTTCTTTGAAGACTGAGTTTGTGAGAACTTTCCTTTTCTTCCAGTAAAAGCTCCTTGATGGGATAATGCTTTATATTTATACTTTTAGTTTTGGGTTTTTGTTTTTGTTAAGGGAAACAAACCAATTATTTTAATTGACAACAGAAGGGTTACACTAGCCCAGCCAGTGTGGCTCAGTTGGTTGAGCGTCATCCCATGCACCAAAAGGTCACCAGTTTGATCACTGGTATGAGCACATACCTGGATTTTGGGTTCCATCCCCCAGTAGGGGGCATACAGGAGGCAGTCAATCTCTGTTTTGCTCTCACATCAATACATCGATGTTTCTATCTTTTTCTCCCTCTCCATTTGTCTATCTGAAATTTTCCTTTCTTTGCCTTCTCTGGAAGCACTGGAAGTTAAGGAAGTACTCATAATGACTTAGGACCCCGGAAGGAATTAAAGTCTGGTGGTAAGCAAGAGAACAGAAACTTTCCAAGGAAACTTTCAATGAAAAAGGAAACCTAGCATCTCATCAGGTTCCACCAATATGCCCTTTTGCCCACATATGAAGCATCCTACCACCTACCTTAAGGGAGTTCTCTGAGGATCCTACCCAACCAGGCTCCTTAGTGATCAGAATTTGACCGACATGGCTACTGCCAGACAGAACACAGAGGTCACAAATTGGCGCATGTAGACAGGTCAGGACTGTGGAGTCTTATCAATCGAATTGGATGCCTGCAAATGGAGCAGGTGTGCTGAGATCTGACATCTCCCACACATTCCAGTTGCCTGTCACTTGGGCCAGTTCCTGCTTTCACACTACTTTAGACTCAAAATTCTGTTTTCCTGGCCAAAAAAAAATATGAAGGGAAACAAAAATAATGTCAGGACATTAGGACAACGTCTACACCTACTTCTGTCCTCCCCTTTTTCTCTTTCACAGGTTCTCCCTTAACACATTAACAACATGCTGCTATTGAAAAATGGATTAGCCCTGGCCGGTTTGGCTCAGCGGTTAGAGCGTCGGCCTGCGGTCTGGAGAGACCCGGGTTCGGTTCCCGCTAAGGGCATGTACCTCGGTTGCAGTTTGTCCCCGGCCCTGGTTGGTCGTGCGGGTGGCAGCCACTCAATGTGTCCCTTTCACATCGATGTTTCCCTCTCTCTCTCTTCCTCTCTCTCCCTCCCACTCTGTCTGTACAAAAAATGGAAAAATGTCCTGGGATGAGGATTAAAAAAAAAAAAAAGAAAAGAAAAAAGAAAAATGGATTAAGAACTTACACACACACACACACACACACACACACACACACACCACTTTGGTAATGTTTTAATTTACAAATGAGATTCAATAACTGAGCTGTTTATTTCCTCTAAATTCGCAGATATAGAAACATGACTCTTAGTTGATATTTTTCTTCATTTACATGCTAATGGCTATTGCACAAGGTTGCAGCTGATCTTTCATTTGGAGAAATCTGAATTCCTATCAATATCCTTTATAAACTGGCTCATCAATATATTGACCTTTATAATTCAGATCTTGAATTCTTTTCTGACAGTAGCACTCAGAAATTGTTGGGTTTCTTCCATTTTCCATTTTCAGATGATTGAGATATGACAGTCATAATTAATATTATGTCTTTATACTTTGAATGCAGTGTCTTGACCTGGAAGAGGGAGGAGGGAAATGAAGAAACTTAGCATTAGCTTTATACATAAAAACAAAATTTATCCCATTCTCTTTCTTTTCCCCTCTTCCTTTCTTCTCTGGCTCAGGACCAGGGACTGATGGAGATCAGTGGAGGAATTGAGTGAGGGTGGGTTTTTAGAATAATTCAGGTCCGTGGGGGGAAAAGAATAAGCAGTTAGCATTACTTACACTATGTCTTTCTGTTGCTGGTTTTCCCCACTTCAAATTCTTCTTGCATGCTTTATTTTTAATGAACATTCTAGACATTTTAATAGGTTGATAATTAAAAATAAAATTCATTAATTTTACATTTGTCATCTTTTTAAATCTGTTTTACAGCTTTTTCAACCTTCTTATGGTTTTAACCTGACTGATCCTTATTGTCGACTTTTGGAAAACCAATATAAAAGTCTTCATGATCCACATTTAAAAGAATACTATTCACGCAAATATATCCTGAAGAAATTAAAGAAAGATGGCTACATCACCAGTGATAATAAAGTGGGTTGAAAAGTACTTTTTTAAATCATTGACAACTTCTAAGACTTGATATAAGCTTGCTTCTATACCTCACTACTATGGTGGGGTTTGAACTTTAACTTGGTCATGAGAGATACTGAGAAATTCTATAAATTAGTATTTTGGGTTAAGGGAAATCATACTACTACTAAATGATACTACTTCTTCCACCTTTTTAAATCTGAAATATCAAAAGATGATTACCAAATAAGTTGAGGATATAAAGATAATTTCCCAACTGTAACATAGTTCTCTTTCTCTGTCTCCAATGGTTCTGTATGCTTGTCAAGGATTATTTCTTATGAAATTTTTAAAAACTTGAGACAGAATAGGAACACAGCAAAATTAGCCTGCTGGAATGTTGACAGAACATAAGAGTAGTCTTATATTCTAATTTGTATTAAACATTATCATTACATTAGTATTGTATCTTAATAACTCCAACTATCTATATTAAATTTATGTCGTATTGTAAAAAGTAATGACATTTGGATAGGAACTTCCTGCTGTTAAACAATTGTACAGAGATACTGTTTACAAAATTATTAGCACTTTATTACTCTTGATAAAAAAATGTTATCAAGTTGTATATTATTACTGTTTTTCCTCCTGAAAGTGATTGGTATGATTTTTAAATGTTTATATTTATATTTTTTGTTATTGTTTTGTTTTTTAGGTTGTATGTGACTTGAGAGAATTTAATACATACAGGCAATATCTTACCAATTTGAAATTAGACTATGAAAGAAACTACATAAGAGTACAAGTAAGTTAAATACTTAAATTTGGTTTCTCACATAGTATTTAAAGAAAGGTTACTGGTATAAAAAGTATCTTCTTATAATATTTTTACCTTTAATTTTGCAAGAATAATTAAATATTTTTTCCAAATGAAAATTGAGAGCTGGAATAAATAATAACTTGGGGTTGCTTTATTGGGCCAAGAAAGGAAAAGGAACCAGGTCATCTATTAATGTCAGTAGTAGCTGGCATCATTTAGTAATTAAATTGCTACTCCAGTGTGTGCCTTCTATCTAAGTTGAGGCCAATAGGAAGAGTATTGTGGCAGCAAGATTCTTAGGCTGGAACACATAAAAGCTTGAGTAACAGGAGAGGGGAAATGTGAATAATTATAATGGCCTTCGGGTGACTCAAAGAACATGTGCCCTTTGTTTGTATTCACACACATGCAGCTGTGTTCATCCAGCAAAAATTATTTTAAAGGTAAAGTGGAATGATTGGGTGTAGAGTGAGTGCGTATAAAGAGTAACTTCCTTTCAAGTTTATTTTAATTTTTTAAAAAAATAGTTTCATTGATTTTTGAGAGAGAAAGAGAGAGAGAGAGAGAAACATTGATGTGTGAGTGCAACATGGATCAGCTGCCTCCTGCATGCACCCCACTGGGGATCAAGCCTGCAACCTTGGCATGTGTCCTAACCCAGAATTGAACCAGCAACCTCTCAGTCCATGGGAGAACGCCCAACCAACTGAGCCACACCAGCCAGGCTCCTTTTAATTTTTTGACTCAAAGTTAGTGCGTGTGTGTTTGTCATGCACACACATGTCCATGAGTGAATTCAGATTTTAGGATTAAGAGGGTTGGATAAAAATTAGAAAGGTATGTGTATGTGTACTTTTAGAAATGTATGTTCTAAGGTTGAGAGAGTGGTATAGAAATGAGAATAGCTACCTATACTTTTAAGTGGTCTATATTTTCCGCCATTTCCTCATCTCTGTCTAGATGTTCTCCTGCCCTTTTTCCTTATTTTCATTTAATTTTTTCAGAATGGATGGAAATGTATGATGAGATATTTATCTTTCATTTTCAGAGAGAGAAATTTTTACTTTGGTTCAGTTACCCAGGTCTGTAATAGATTCAAAATAAATTTAAATGCAGTTAAACAGAATTAGTTATTTAGAAAGTACTAGAATTTTTACTAAACACTAAATATAAAAAGGCATATCAAAGGACAGTTTTGTTCTGTAAACTTTAAAAACATTTAATATATATATACATACATATGGATATACGCATATATATGATATACACATTTTTTAATAGAAAATGCTTGCAAATCAAGTAAATAAACTACAAGAAAACAATTCTGATGCTGCACGGTTGCACAACTGGTTGTTACGGGAGGATGACCAATCTTTTAAGGACCAGGAGCGATTACTCGGGCACAGGTGAGATTGAAGTTAATGTATATTTTATGTATACACTGTGGACTCAAATAAGTTGGAAAAATACTAGAAAGAATGGCAGTTAGGATTTTTTAACATACTAAACACCTTTTAACTCCACTACTGCCCTCAGTATGGAGAGGAAGGGAGACCAAGTGGTACAGAAATGGAGGACTTTGATGCCAAGGGGAGGAAGAGCAGTTTCTACCAGAAGATGACAGGGTTTCTAGGAGTCCTAGAGGTAATCCAAACTGATAAGTAAAGAATGAATCAGATCCAAAATCGTTCCTGTAGTGAAATGGAGGAAAAGAATCTTTCAGCACATGCCTCTAGCAGTAGCTTTGTATGATTCATCTTTAAGGGCTGACAGCATTAAATTTGAGGGAGGGAGTGCAAAGTCAAAAGTGAAGTTTCATTAAATTCTATCTAATGCACCGTCCCTAGAAGCAAATGTGTAAGCTTTTCAGATGTTACCTACTCAGTTCAACCATTACCATTCTGGGGTCAAGCCCACATCTTAGGAAGTGAGGGATATTACAGTTTTCTCCTCCTCTCTTTCCTCCTTCATTAAGGTGAGGGATCGGGCTGCACAGCCTGACATTCATGTTCCATGGGTTCAACCTCTGGTAGTTCCACACGCATATTGACACACCAGAGACCCAGGAAGATTTGTTCAAGGCTTTGTAAGTCACAGGCAACCCAGGATACATCTTTTTCTTAGGAAATTCAAATTTGTGGGTTTTTTTTCTGGATTGGAAATCAATTTTCACTATTTCAGCCTCTTTTGCAAACTCATACCCCTAAACCCACTGAGTTATGAATAATTACTGCACAAAATATTATTATTGAATCTGCTCCATTCATTGTCTTAGCCATAAAAACAGATAGTGGTATGGTAGGGAGACCTGGATAACAAAATACAGTGAGAGCTGGTGTACAAGTCCATGAACAGAACTGATAGGAAAACTGTAAATTTCCTATAGTTTAAGAAATAAAAAGTAAGGAAGGAGGTAGTTTGGGCATATCAAAGCAGCTAATGCAACAAGGGAGACACTCAATTCACCCTCACTTGCATTTGCACTTTAATTTAGATATCTGGATATGATAAGTAAGGAATTAGAACAACGTGAACGCGCAGCGGAAGAGCAGCGCCTACTCTGGATGGACAGAGAAGAAAGACGACAGCGAGAACAAACAAGAAGAAAACTTTGTCTTCGTAGAAAAATGGAAGAGGTGAGAAGATACATTTAAAAGTCATTTCTGGTCTAAATAATTTACCCACATTAATCTTTCTTCATGGCTCGAACATACAAGTTGTTACATTAAATAATGATGCTAACAGCACAAACTATATATATATATGAGCCAATATCTGCTTTTTTTTTTCTTGTTGATTTTAGAGAGAGAATAAGGGAGAGGGGGAGACAGAAACATCGATTCGATGGGAGAGAACATCAATTGGCCACCTCCTGCATACCCCCCACTGGGGATTGGGCCCAAAATCTGGGCGTGTGCCCTGACCAGGAATCAAACCAGCAACCTCTTGGTGCATGGGTCGATGCTCACCCACTGAGCCACACTGGCTAAGCTAATATCTGCTCTTAAAGAGATGACTGTGAAAGTTACTAGACACTATTTAACTACCCTATAGCCCTCAGTGTGAAAAGGATAGTTGTTTAAAATTTAGCTTTAGTAAAAAATAACCATAACCAAAATAACCATGCCTGCATTCCTAATGGGAGTGCAGGAAGGAAAGAAGTCCATTCGAAACCCAATGTATGACTTGCATTATACTTGACCTGATTTTGTTAGGCTCTTGGCTTGTTCCAATTTGCTTGTTGGTGGACACAATGCAAAGGTTTATTGTAAACACTAATTACAGTAACGTGCTCTCTAGGAATGGAAGACAAAAGAGATGTTACTTCTAACAAAGATTGGAGAAGATGTTAAAAGAGAAGCTAGGATAGAGAAACACCGGCATAGAAACAAAGAAGAGAATGACAGAAAGGTAGATTTAACTTGAACCTCTAATTTGCTGTAATTTGGACTGTTAAAGGAGAAACGTTTCCTAGTTTTGATTTTTGAAAGTACACTATATAAAATAAAAATGGGTCAGTTTTCCCAAATGATATGCATTATACAAAACTGAAAGTTATGAAATTTTTACTATATTTTGACCATGTAGTATTCTGACTATAATACAAAAAGTACTTCCCTATTATTTGATGTAACTACTTTTGACTCTCACACCATAAACTATACTTGTAATTCCTATAGAAAACAAAAATGATATAACTGACTTTTTCTTACAATCAGTATTTATTGGGAAAAGTTCTCAACTTTTACCCACCAGTTAATTCTCTTTCTTTTTATATTTTTTCAAATGACTTTATTATTTTTTTAATTTATTTATTTTTGTTACAGATGTTTCTCCTTTTCCCTCCATTGATTCCACCTTCCCCCTCCCTCCCCACCATGTCCCCAGTTTTGTTGTCCATGTCCATTGTTCATGCAGACATGCATACAAGTTCTGTGGTTTATCTCTCCCCCACCACACCCTCTTCTGGGGATTGTCAGTCTGTACCTCACTTCCACGTCTCTGGGACTACCCCATTCCTCAGACTGTTATGTTCATTATATTCCACAAATAAGTTAGATCATATGATACTTGTCTTTCTCTGTTTGGCTTGTTTCGCTTAGGAAGATACTTTCCAGGTCCCTCCATGTCATCTCAAAGGATGAGAGATGTTTCTTTCTTACAGCTGCATAGTACTCCATTGTGTATATGTACCACTGCTTTTTTATCCATTCATCTACTGATGGACATTAGGGCTGTATCCAGATCTTAGGTATTGTAAATAGTGCTGCTACAAACATAGGGGAACATATATTCTTTCTGATTGGTGTTTCAGGCTTCTTAGAGTATCTAGAAGTGGGATCACTGGGTCAAATGGCAATTCAACTTTTTTTAATTTTTTGAGGTAACATCATATTGTTTTCCATAGTGGCTGCACCAGTCTGCATTCCCACCAGCAGTGTACTACAGTCACCTTTTCTCCACACTCTCACCAACACTTGTTGTTTGATGATTTGTTGATGGCGGCCATTCTGACAGGTGTGAGGTGATACCTCATTGTTGTTTTAATTTGTATCTCTCTGATGATTAGTGATGTTGAGCATTTCTTCATATGTCTCTTAACCATTTGTATGTCCTATTTGGAGAGGTGTCTATTTAGTTCCTCTGCCTATTTTTTAATTGGGTTCTTTGTCTTCCTTTTGTTGAGTTGTATGAGCACTCTATATATATATTGGAAATTAACCCCTTATCTGATATATCATTGGCAATTATGCTCTCCTGTACAGTGGGTTGCCTTTCCATTTTGATGATTGTATCTTTTGCTGTGCAGAAGCTTTTGAGTGTGATGTAGTCCCATGTGTTCATTTTCTTCCTTGTTTCTGTTGCCTTAGGTGATGTATCAGTGAAAATTCTGCTGTGTATGATGTCTGAAATTTTGTTGCCTACATTTTGTTCTAGGATTTTTATGAATTCATGAGTCACATTTAAGTCTTTTATCCATTTTGAGTTTATTCTTGTGTATGGTGTAAGTTGATGGTCTAATTTCATTTTTTTGCATGTACCTGTCCAATTTTCCCAACACCATTTATTAAAGAGGCTGTCTTTACTTAACTGTATGCTCTTGCCACCTTTGTCAAATATTAATTGAGCATATTGCCTTGGGTCCATTTCTGGGTTCTCTGTTCTGTTCCACTGGTCTATATCCCTGTTCTTGTACCAATATCAGGCTGTTTTGATTACAGTGGCTTTGTAGTATAACCTGAAATCTGGTAATGTGATCCCTCCAACTTTGTTCTTCTTTTTCAAGATTGCTGTGACTATTCGAGGTCTTTTTTGGTTCCAGATGAACTTTTGAAGTATTTGTTCTAGTTCTGTGAAGAATGTCATTGGTATTTTTATGGGGATTGCATTGAATCTATAGACTGCTTTGGGTAGTATGGAAACTTTAATGATGTTAATTCATCCAAACCATGAACAAGGTATGTGCTTCCACTTTTTTATATCTTCCTCTATTTCTTTATTCAGTGACCTGTAGTTTTCTGTGAATAGGTCCTTTATTTCTTTGGTTAAGTTTATTCCTAGGTATTTTAAATTTTTTAGAGACGATGGTAAAAGGGATTGTTTTTTTAGTTTCTCTTTCTGTGAGTTCATCAATGGTGTATAAGAATGCTATTGATTTCTTGACATTAATTTTGTATCCTGTTACTTTGCCAAATTCATTTATTAAATCTAGTAAATTTTTGATGGAGTGTTTGGGGATTTCTATGTATACTATCATGTCATCTGCAAATAATGACAGTTTAAATTCCTCTTTTCCAATTTGGATCCCTTTTATTTTTTTCTTCCTGCCTGATTGCTGTGGCTAAGACTTCCAGTACTATGTTAAATAAGAGTAGCAAAAGTGTGCATCCTTGTCTTGTTCCTGTTCTTAAGAGAAATGCTTTTAATTTTTGCCCATTGAGTATGACGTTGGCTGTAGGTCTTTCATATATGGCCTTATTATGTTGAGATATGATACCTCTATTCCCAGATTGCTGAGCATTTTTATCAGAAATGGGTGCTCGATTTTGTCTAATGCTTTTTCCACATCTATTGATATGATCATGTGATTTTTATCTTTCATTTTGTTTATGTGGTGTATCACTTTATTGATTGGTGAATATTGTACCAGGCTTGCTTCCCTGGGATGAATCCCACTTTGTCATGGTGAATAATTTTTTTGACATATTGCTGGATTCGATTTGTTAGTATTTTGTTCAGGATTTTGTCATCTATGTCCATTAGGGACATTGGTCTGTAGTTTTCTATCTTTGTAGTGTCTTTTTATGGTTTTGAAATTAGAATTATTCTGGCCTCATAAAACGAGTTTGGAAGTCTTCCTTCTTCTTGAATTTTTTGAAATAGTTTGAGGAGAATGGGTGTTAGTTCTTCTTTAAATGTTCGGTAAAACTCCTCCATGAAGCTGTCCAGGCCTGGGCTTTTGTTTGCTGAAAGTGTCTTGATTACATCCTCAATTTCGTTTGTTGTTATTGTCTGTCCAAGTTTTCTATCTCTTCCCAGTTCAGTTTTGGGAGACTATGTGTTTCTAGAAATTCCTCCATTTCAGTTAGACTGTTGAATTTGTTGCCGTATAATTTTTCATAATATTTGTTAATGATCTTTTGTATTTCTGCAGTTTCAGTTATTATTTCTCCTTTCATTTCTGATTTTGTGTATTTGGGTTCTCTCTGTTTCTTGGTGATTCTAGCTAAGGGTCCATCAATCTTCTTAATCTTTTCAAAGATCCAGTTCTTTGTTTCATTGATCCTTTGAATTTTTTTTTTGCTCTCCATGTCATTTATTTCTGCTCTGATCTTTACTATTTCCTTCCTTCTACTTGCTCTGGGGTTTTCTTTTTGTTTGCTTTCTAGTTCCTTAAGTTGTGAGGTCAGATAGTCTATTAGAAATTTTTCTTGCTTCTTGAGGTAGGCCTGTAGTGCTATGAACTTCCCTCTGAGAACTCCCTTCGCGGCATCCCATAGATTTTTGTGTTGTTGTGTGTTCATTTTCATTGGTTTCCAGGAAGTTTTCAATTTCTTCCTTGATCTCTATGGTAACCCATTCATTGTTCAATAACATGCTATTTAGCCTCCATGTCTTCACATGTCTTTGCATGTTCTAATTGCAATTGATTTCTAGTTTTATGCCATTGTGATCTGAGAAGATGCTTGATATGATTTCAATCTTCTTGAACTTGTAGAGACTTAGTTTGTGCCCTAACATGTGGTCTATCTTTGAGAAGGTCCCATATGCACTTGAGAAGAATGTGAATTCTGCAGTTTTGGGGTGTAATTCTCTGTAGATATCTATGAAATCCATTTGATCTAGTGCTTCATTTAGAGTCTTTGTTTACTTGTTAATTTTTCATCTAAAAGATCTATTCAGTGATGCAGCAGGGTATTGAAGTCCCTTGCTATGGTTGTACTGTTGTTGATTTCTCCTTTGAAGTCCTCCAGAAGATTTTTAATATATGTTGGTGCTCCTATATTGGGTGCATATATGTTTACCTAGGTTATATCTTCCTGTTGGATAGATCCTTTCAATATTATGTAGTGGCCTTCTTTGTCTCTAGTTATGGCCTCAGATATGAGTACTGCTACCCAGCTTTTTTTGCTTTCCATTTGCTTGAAAGATTTTTTCCCATCCCTTCACTTTCAACCTAGGTGAGTCTTTTGTTGTGAGGTGGGTCTCTTGTAAACAAGATACATGTGAGTCATGCTTTCTCATCCAGTCAGCTACTCTGTGTCTTTTCATCAGAGCATTCAAACCATTCAGATTTAAGGTGATAATTGATATGTACTTATTTATTGCCATTTTTGTTTAGTGTGGTTATATTTTTCTTCCCATATTTTCTACTAATTAGAGCAGTACTTTTAGCATATCTTGCAGTGCTGGTTTGGTGTTAACATATTACCTTAGCCTTTCTTTGTCTGGGAAGCTCTTTATTTGACCTTCTATTTTGAATGATAACCTTGCTGGATAGAGTAGTCTTGGATTCAGATCCTTGTTTTTCATGACTTTGATTACTTCATGCCACTCCCTTCTGGCCTGTAGTGTTTCTGTTGAGAAGTCAGCTGAGAGCCTTATGGGGTTTTCTTTGTAGGTAACCTGTTGCTTATCTCTTGCTGTCTTTAGGATTCTCTCTTTCTCTTTAATTTTTTTGGCATTTTAATTACTATGTGTCTTGGTGTGGGCCTGTTCAGGTTCTTCTTACTTGGGGCTCTCTGTGCTTCTTAAACTTGAATGCCTTCTTCCTTCACCAAGTTAGGAAAGTATTCTGTCACTATTTCTTCAAATATATTATCTAACCCTTGCCCATTTTCTTCCTCTTCACGGACTCCTATGATGTGAATGTTATTATGTTTCCAGATGCCCACAGTTCTCTTAAGCTG